GGCAAGACGCAACATCGAAAGCCTCTTAAGAGTTTCCACGATGTCGCAGCTGTGAGTGATAAAATTATTTCCCCGGTTGGCTCCTCGATGATGGCGTCGCCGAAATAAAACGAATCGAGAAACTCGGATGTGTTGTCGGGCTCATACATAAGATGAGAGAAAACGAGCTGAAGGAAATGAAGAGAAGGACGTCGAGGGGAGGTAAAGGGGGAGGTGAGTGATCGCGTAGGGAAAAACGCGTTAATTGAGGAGGCCGCGGGAAAGTGCGTCGTGGAGATAAACGGGCTGGGCGATAAAATTATTTCAAAGCCGGCTTAAATAGAGTAAATCGCGTGGTAGGTAGAATACAGAGAGAGGGAGAAAGGGTGAAGGGGAGGGAAAAGAGTAGGAAGAGAACAGAAAGAGAAAGAGACATAGAAGGCGTCGAAATAAACGGCCCAAGTGCCAACTAACGGGGTAGATCTTGAGAGCTGGACGAAGTGAGTTAAAGAGTGAGAGAGAGAGAGAGAGAAAGAGAGTGAACCGAGCTGGTAGGGAAGCCGATAAATAACCACTGGTTTATTAGCAAGATAGACGAGAGGGTGAGGAGAGTGCGGTTAAATTAGCAAGAATATTAGTACGCGTTCGCGCCAGCGTTACTTACTCTCTCTGTCTCTCCCTTCGTTCTTCTTCTATTTTCTCTCTTTCTCATCGTATCGCGGATTTAACAGGCGCAAGCGACGGCTGCCTGCTTCCCCGAAGGAGAAAGCACGTAGCTTGCAAGCTTGCTTGCTTGCTTGCTTGCCTGCTACCGGGTGCTTGCCCGAAGAAGGGTGGGTTAGAACGGCGTAAGTAATAACTGAGGTAGATTGCTCAGAGAGTGGGGAGTGGCGTGGGTGTATGGGTACAATCAAGTAGAGAAGGCTACGACTTATCGGACGTTTCCCAACGATTTCGTTCCTCCTTTAACCGATAAAAATGTTATCCAGTTATATATTTAGAGCTTGCAGAGAAGAATTTTTCCGCTGAGGAACTTCGACGAGCTTTTCGTTAACGAATTTAACAGCTACGTGAGATTTAGAAACTCTCGCGTGGAAAACTTTGGCGTGACCCTTTGAACGAGTCTTACCAGAAACTTTGTAGCATTTGGTAGGATCGAATGGTAAGAGAAAGAGAGAGAGAGGAGAATTGTTCCTTGCGATTCTTGTAGTACGTAGGAACGTTTACGCGCTCGCGAGACTTTCTCGAAGAGAATTACAGAGCGGTAACAAGCTGGCAACGATTCTAACTACTGTCCGGGTCGTTGATATATGTGACGGAAAATTGTGGGCGAAGGGACGACGAGGAATACCAGAGAAACGTTGAAGGAAAAAGGAAGAAGGAAATAACATTGGGTAGTCGTATTAGTGGTGGTGATGGTGGAAATGGTATAAAGGGTGGTCCAGTGATCTTTTCTGTCACAATGAATTTCTACTCTTTCTTTGTATAAAGAAAATAAAGTAAAATAAAATAAAAGAAGTATAGTAACGAGTAATGCAAAGGACAAAAAAAATATTATTATTTAAGAATGATTTGTCTCGCGTATTCTAATTAGAAACGGTTATTTCTAATCCCACGTCGTACTCTCGTCGTTACCTAGCCGTCTCTTAATCGAGACGAGAAGGAACGCAAGTCGGGCTAACAACTACGAGAGAAGCAAGCAAGCACCAACGAACGAACGAACCACGCTTGGTGCAACGGGCCACGCTCTAATTGCATTACGGAAACATGAGTTTCCCTCGGTGAAATATATCACGAAACTTATCGCGCCACGAAGAAATTGCCGCGGTGCTTCGCATGCACTCTCCCATTCTCTCTATCTCTCTTTCTCTCTCTCGTTGTACTCTCTTTCATTTCTCTCTGGAGCGCAAGCTTGGATCCGCCTACGCGAAAGCCCTCGTACCTGACCACCCACGCAACTGGTATTGGTATACCTTTTTCCAACCTGTCCTACGCGTCTACACATTTTCTAATATTTCTTCTGAACAATTTAGATCAACCTTGAACCGAAGATAATTACAAATACCAACCGATCATATTGTTTTAATCGAAATTTTGGATGACGTCCTAAAACACGAATATATTTCTTTATCGTGTGACGGAAAATGTCACGAGTCACGGTGCTAGCCAAGAAACGATTTAGACGACTAATGTAAGTAGAGAAAGATAAAATATATGCGAGGAAACATCGAAGACGTCGGAGACGAGACATTTAGAAAATACGAGCTAACCGAAATCCGTGATAGGTCCCTCAACTGGGAAAGGGGGCTTGGGATAGGGAGGAACGTGGTGCGATGGTTAAAAGGACGAAGAAGAAAAAGAAGAAAAGAGCGTCCACTCTCTGCCAAAAATTCCAAATCGACGACTTTAACGGAGAGTTGTTACTCTAAAGCTTTTCCGTAATTGCGGAAAGAAGAGAAAACGAGGAACGGATAGCGGTCTGCGAAACGTGTGAAAAATTCGTTAAGTGTTTTTTGGCCGTGCCTTCTTACCCGCGGACTTGATTTGTGCTCAATTACGCTCGTCGCGTATCCAACATTCCTTCCTTTTTTTTTCTTTTTTTTTTTTTTTTTCTCTTTTATTCCTCGTTCCCTCTTATTACTCGCGATTCGAGAGAGAGAGAAACCAAAGTGCGGAAGATTTTATTTATAAAATGGTACACGACGAACCACCCGCGTCTACGTGGCGTCGTGGCGAAATAAGAAAATGGAGGAGAAAGGAGGAGGACGAAGAGGAAGATGAAGAAGAATTTCGAGAAGGTGATGGAAAGAGAGAGAAAGAGAAAGAGACGATGCAACTCGACGCGTCGAACGATTCGTTTCGCATTTTATATCCGCGCGTTAAATCGACCGCCACCTCCTCCGCCCCCACTTTCATTCCTCTTCTGACTATTCTCTTTTTTCTTTACAGAAAAATAGAGAGAGAGAAAGAGAGAGGGTCGCCAGTACCTCGGTGCTGATTCCTCTTCCGTTAGCACGATACGGACCGTAACACTCGGATTATTTCGATCTTTGCTCCTGCTAAAGTTAGCCCAAGAGATTACCACGTCGCGACATGCTTTCTCTCTCGTTTAAAGAGTAAAACAGATAGAATAAAGGATAGAGTCCTTCCTTCGTTCCTTTTCCGAATAAAAGGGAAAGATAATAAGTAGCGTTGCTTCTAAATATTCTCGCGAGTAAACAACAGGAGAGGAAAAGGGCTCGAGGTAATTCGTATACTGGCGCAGGTGCCACGCAAAAACATCTATCAAGATAGCCAGATATATAAGGGAGGTTAAAAGGAGGGGTTGCTTACTTGCTTGCTAAAGGGTGGTCTACGTTCGAGGATCAACCCGAAGAAACTGGGATTTCGTGAGACAGGAGTAACTAAGCTTTTCTCTCTCTCTCTCTCTTGATGTTATTCTACCTCTTCCTATCTAATATCGAATCCTCATGAATTAGTCTTTTCCATGGAACGAGGTATCCTTCGAGGCTTTTCCTCGTTTCTGTACTTTCTCATGGTTGATTACTGATCGATAAAACGTTGGAAATACACGTTGCGAATTATCGTATCCGAGTAAATTGTCAGATCGTTTAAAAAAAATCGTAAAATTCTAATCGAGAGCAATTACGAACCAACGAGTTCTTCTTATCCTTTAACAATCTTCAACGTAATCCTCATTTTACTTCGGATTTTTTCTGCACGCATAAGTTGTCCAATAGGATCACATATATTTGCGAGTACGGTTGTAGAGAGATGGACAAAAAAAGAAACATATAAAAAAGTCGTTCGCGAGCACAAAGGCACCGAGTTTCGTAACTCGTTTCGTGTATCCTCGAGCATATCCTGCGAGCTGCCTACGCTAACGACGTTTCGAGCGTTTTCCTTCGGTTAAGAATGCACGTCTATACGTAGTGCATCGTATAACTTGATAACTCTTACTTATTTCAACGTAAAAAAAAAAAAAAAATAAATGAGAGGGAAAGAGAGAGAGAGAGAGAGAGAGAGACATGGGTAAAGCGAAGAAGTTTATATTCGCAAGAACATCTCGCTAAGTTCTTTTTTTTCTCTCTTCTTCTTCTTTTCCTCGAGAATGAAAATTTCTATGTAAAATCCGTTTAATGTTTTTATCGGCCGTAAAACTTTTATTACTAGGTACGAATAAACTTTTCCGCTTAGAAAGTAGGTATAAGTCGAAGGACACGCTAAAGGAACGCCTACGAACTCGCATGCACGTACTATCCTTTATTTCACGAATAAAATAAAATGAAATCAATGAAATATAATAATAAATAATGAATAAAAAAGAGAGGAGGCAAAATAAAAGTGAATTCGGAAGGACTCGGCCGAGATAAGGATAAAATAAGATAAAGATAAAACCAAAGAAAAAAGAAAAAAATGTCCGATTCGTGCACGGCAACATCAGTTCGATGTGAACGCCCACCAAGTGGGTTCGGTCGTACTTTGTATTCGCGTGATTGGCGCGGTGAAAATAATCAGCTTGTTGTCGAGCGTCGTGGCCGAGCGTGCACGGCTCGTTTCGTTTGATCTACGGCTGTAATTTCAAAGTGTCTGGAATTCGCGTATGACACGTTCGTCGTGCGTTGTATGATTCGAGTTCTGCCGCGGGATCCTTTTCGAATGAGAGAGAGAGAGAGAGAGAGGAAAAAGAAATGAAAAAAAGCAAGGGGGAGAAAAATTCTTTCCTTCTTTCTTCTCTTTCAACTTGCGACACGCAGGGTCATAAGGAAAGAAACGTTGAACGGCTTGCAAAGATAAGCCGAGCAGAAATTTTATCGTTGCATCGACTTGCCTGCTATCGTATCGTAACGCCTAACGATGATTATTGTTATTATTATTATTATTATTGATTGTACACTTGCGAGTACACGCGTATATTTTCTTAAAAATCAAAATATATGCAACATATTAAGTAATTTTCATAATTACTTTACTAATTATTCATAGAGATAACGATTAATTGTGAAATATTTCTGACTCACCAATTATTAACTTGAAGAATCGTCAACCCCGTATCCTGTGCAAGTTGCTTCTTTTGATCCTCCGAAGGGTACGGATGCTGAAAAAAGATAAGAAAATGATATAATTTAGGTCAATGTCCGTGATATTTTGTTCGCGATAGAATAAGATTAGTCGCGTATCGTTAGAGTCACGAGAAGAAAATTTCCATTCGGTTCTTCTCCTTACTTACCCAACCTGCTAACAACCCCCTGAAAACTCTGAGAACGTTTTACGTTCGATCCGGACGTTTAATGAACGCAACAAGGTAAGAATAAACGTTCCGTGAAGGCGCGCATCGCGCTATTTCGCGCGTCTACTCCGAGTGATTTACAGGGCACGTGCACGCGTTCTCTTTATTTTTCTCTTTCTCTTTCAACCTCTCTCATTCTCCCTTTCAAGTTCTCTACCTATCTTTATTTTTCATACACGAGGACAATTTCTACCTACGCGAAAAGAGGAGAAAGAGAGAGAGAGAGATGCCTGGAGCGTTGCAAATGTCAGGACGCACCTGCGAAAATATTATTTATTACCAACTAACAACAACAACAACAACAACAACAACAACAACAATAATAACTATGACGACGAAGACGAAGACGACGACGACGATGAGAACGGCGAGGACAACGTTGACAACGATGAAAAAGGAAGACCGGAATGAAGTAAGAGAGAAACAAAATACTTGAACGTAGTAGTAGGATCCCATTCTTGGATAGGACAAGACAGGACGCCCAAGTTTTATCACGTTGTTGCATCGGTGCAGATGCGCGCTTCCGCGCTTCTCCTCGTTATGTACTGACAAGATCGTGTACTACTTCTTTCGTATTTTCTTTAGATTAGAGAGAGAGAGAGAGAGAGAGAGAGAGAAACGGAAGAAATTTTACGAGACAGCAACGTTAAGTTATGATGAGTTAGGTGACACAGACATATGTAGAACGTTTCAAGACTTTCATAATCGTAATTTACTAAAGTCTAAATAAAGGATTTCAAATTTTAAAATATCTTATATACACAATTGGTAGAATAATTTGTACAATTTTATTCTCAGATTGTTATTAATTATTTTCTTTACCGAATTAGCGAAAGTATAACTTGTATTGCAATGAAATATTTTCTTGATATAATTATTAAAAATGATTTTATCCATATGGTTAATGAAAAGAATAATGAGAAAAAAAAGAAGAAGAAATTAAAGGAGAAAATGTGAGAAAAGTTTTCAAAGATAGTATGAGAGGGGTTTCAGGAAGCAGGTCGAAGTCATGGTTGAAACGAAAGCGAGTGTGTCGCGAGTTTACGGTGAAATAGGAGGTGGATGGATGAGGGATGGCCTACTCGGATATATTCCATCGTTCTTGCGGCACGGCTCCATAAATTCGTGTATAAATCTGGCCGTTCTCGTGCGGTGAAGTTACTGCGGGCATTAATTTTGCACTTGCGGCCGGCCGTAAGCGCGTCTTTCGAAGGTTCTTGCTCGCGGGTGACGGCCAAGACGCGTATCTACTTATACACAGACACAAACACGTGTGTAGGTATATATGTAGGTACGAAGACTTAGTGCAATATCTCGAAGGAAAGAGAGAAAGATACCGAACGACTTTTGCACGCGCGCCTGCACGTCAAACTACGCCGAAAGCTATACTCTTATTCATTTTCCCTTTCCGTCTTTCTCCGTTTAACACTTATCTTTCTATTTATGTTATATACACGAAACGACATTAACCTTCCACGTATCCCAACCCCCAACACCTACCCGATTCAAGGACGAAAACGATTTTCGATATCCTTTCTTAAAAAGTTCCAAAAAGAATCTCAAATAATTATAATAAAAAATTAATTTTTATGCACGAGATTATAGATAAGAAACACGAAAATTATAATTATGAAAAGAGAAATTGTAATCAAGAGGATATTATATTAAACAAACAGGATCAAGACTACATCTCCATTCGAGTAAGCGTTATTCGCGTCAGCGGCCTTTAAAAGCGGGAACATAAAGGCAACCATAACCGCATCGAGTGTGCAACAAAACGCGCGTATCGGAAGCAATACAAGCTCACTCTTATATCTTTCTATATACGTGTATATATACACGCATAAAAATATTCATGTAGATATGAACCTTTGGGTAGGAGAGAACGGACCGAGAGAGAGAGAGAGAGAGAAGGGTATCTCGTTTACGCAGAAAAGCAGGGCGAGAGAGCGTGTAACGCAAGCGGCCGAACCGCATCATATTTTTACATAATTAGCACGTGGTGCTGGTGGTATTAGGTTGCCCCGTCGTTACTTTTTGTCGAGGCCTGCGGTATTTTTGGAAACCGCCGTGGGCCTCGACGCACCCCATCCCTTTCTCTTTCCATCTCTCCCTCTCTCTCCCTCTCTTTCTCTCCCTGTTAAACTTTCTCTCTTTCTCTCGATCCTGGTATATCATGTTTCTTGGAGGCGAGCCATACCGTACATCGTACACTACGGGAACGTGGCTCTATACCCTCTTCCAGCACCACCCGAAAAGCCCATTGTGAGTCGGCTACGTGTATACGCGATCCGAGCGATTCTTATCCTAATTAAATCGGCGGAGTGCATTGTCTGGGCGTAGAATTTCTATCGGATTCTCCTCTCTCTCTTTCTGTCTTCCTCTCTTTCTCTCATTCACTCACTCACTCACTTTACCGAGCGTATACATATGTATTTATATATATATATATATATATATATATATATATATTCATATATATCTACTACTATACGTGTACGAAGGAAAGTGAGATAGAAGTAGAAAGAGAGAGTAGTATCACGAAGAGGAGGATCGAGAAGCTTGGTGTCGTAAAGTACCTGCTATCGGTAACGGTACCAATGGAGAACCACCCCTTTTGCTCTTTCCTTTCGAAAACACACGAGGCTTTGGTTAAAGAATTGTTTTCTTTGTTTGAGAATAAGAGAGAATGAAAAAGAACAAAAAAAAGAAAGAGAGAAAAGTTTTTTTTCTCTCGATTCAGCTTTCGTTGGTGTATGCATAAAACAATCAAGATAATTGTTGATGCTTCGTGGGGTTTGCCTGTTTTCCATTTTCCTCTTCACCACACCCCCCTAGAGAGCTCCATAGAATGACGTTGGAAGGGATGAGAAAGAGATAGAAAGAGAGAGAGAGAGAGAGAAAGAAAGAGGGAACGTAGAAGCTATCCAATTACATTGAAAACAATAGTCTTAAGTGCTCACAGCGCGGAGGTCCGTTCTGGGCCACCCTCGATCCCTACACCATCGGTCCCTACCACCCCTGTTTATTCTCTTTCTCTTTCTCATTCTCATTTTCATTCTCTTCTACTATGTGTGCACCAAAGTGAGGTATTATTCTCGATAGCGTACGAATATGATCGTAAAAATCTATCTAACGTTTCAATCGGAATATAAATTTCTGTATATACGTTTGGTTGAAAGATCACGAATTAAAATCCTATTTGAATGTTAATTCAACGAGACAATTGCGATCACTTTCGAAATCGTAGAATAAAGATACCATTGGTGGAATAAAGTTCTTGGAATAAATGCGATCTCTTCTCGAGCGAGAGGATCACCGGTAGCTAGCTATGTAAAAGGAAGTCGTAGAAAGAAAGTAAGAGAGAGAGATAGAGAGATAAAGAGAATGAGGGAAAATAAAACGAGAGGATGAGAATACACGAAGAAGACGAGGGGTAGACGGTCTAGTCGGTGGCCAAACAAGCGATAAAATGAAAATGAGCGGTAAAAAGACAATATGAAAACCATTTGGGTCTTCTTTTTCTCTCCTCTCTCTCTCTCCTGTTCTCTAGTCGAATTGGGGGTGGGAACAAGCGAGGCGGAAGCAAGGCTAAGTGTGTAAATGAGTCCGTAGTTTAGCCCGATTGCCTCGAGACGACCCTTTTTCGCGGTACGCTATCCTCATCCACGTTGCTTCCACACTCTACCCCCGAGATAACAGTTACGCAATCGGAATACTTTTGCTCTTTCTTCTTACGGTAAGAACAGCCGTTTTAGACGATTTCTAGACGATTTCTAGTAGATTTCTAAGAGAATGGAACCGTTTGGGAGATGAGTTGGAATCAGTAAAGAATTCATTCATTATTTTTCCTTGATAGAACAACGAATTATGCTCGCAAATTGTGTGGTACTACTGTATATTATTCTATTATTCTATTATTTAATCCTAATTATGTTACCACGATAAAGATTTTTGATTTGGAAACAACAAGAGAAGCAAAATTATGTTTCGTAGTTATCAATTATAATGACGCAGCAGTGGAGGGATCATTGTCCCCGAGTAAAATCAGCGAACTATAGAGAATTTTTGCGACTAAACTGTAACGACTTGGAATCGATCTCTACGGCGGAAAAGGGTGTTCCCCGCGTGTCGTTGGATGACAATTTGCTGGCTCAAACGAACGCGTGCTGCGTCAGGTCGTCGATGTCGAATGGGCGGTGCAACGTAGGAACCTCCAATGTGTCTCTCCTCGTGTACTTCGTCCGGTGTCGTTTTGGAATCCCCCTACGGTAACCAGGCTTCTCGTTGCCGAATGACACGTCGATGACGACCGTTGCTGACTCCGACTAACGAGCGGGGCGTTGGGGGCGTGGGACCCGAACAGAGATCGCGCCTCGTCATCACGCTCCTCCATCCTCGTCCTCGTCCTCGTCCTCGTCCTCATCCTCGTTCTCGTCCTCCACCTTCCCCATCGACCCCGACCATGTTTCTATCGAGAGTTACAACAGCAACCGTGCCTCTTCTTCCTACTTTCCCTTACCCTAGACTATCCCCACCCACCCACCTTCCTCCCATCTTCTCTTCATCCTTTTCAACAAACTTTTTTTTTGAACGATTCTTCTTGTTATCGCAGCATCGATCAATCTTCAGTTCTTCTCGTCTAGTAACTCCTCCGATCACGTAGCAGATAAATTTATACAATTAAGACGAAACGGAAGCATTAAGTTTGTTCGTTCGTACAGCACCGTGGAACCCTTAGGGATCGAAGAATAAATGTTAAAAATCGACAGCTATCTGAGCAAACGTAATCATCTCGCGAATAGAAG